CCATTAGACCACAAAGACTTATAGGATATACGCGAGTATCTAAGCCATTGTAAGACCAGACACTCATACTAAACTTCTTGATTGTGTAAATTAAGATGTTAAAATGCATGGTGAAGCTCCTTTGAATCTGCCTATCAGCCTATGAGAAAAAGCAAGAAAACGGCAAAAGCTATGATGGGCAAACGGGATGTGGAATTAGACGGGTCTAGATTGAAATACAGCAAATGATCTTATAGATGTGGTATTTAATCATTTGAGAAACGAATAATCAGCTATTACCGGATTTTAACTACAAGAAGAACCATTATACCTGTACATACAAAGATATGTTTGCCGGTAATTTCGGAATATTTTCCAACCCACAACATGTTCCAATACTATAAAGGGAAAAAAAATATGTACAAAAGTAAGTATTGATATGGTTATTGATAAGATTAGGAGATGCTGTTTATATGAATATTTTTTTTATTAATTTTGAAATAATGTTATACTTTTTTGACTGGTTCATAATGATTTTTATAAGGCCTATTTAAATTTATTTGTAGAACCCAAAGAAAATAATTCAGTTACTCCTCCCGACATGTAGGTTTGGAAGTTGTAGAACATATTATTTGTAAATTGCTGTTACATGTATTCTGATCACTTTGAAAGTTGGGCGTAGGCCTAAATTGTATGGTTTTAAGTTTTAGCAAAATACATGTTAAACTTCTACTAAATACTTTAATTGCAATTATCGATAAATGTAATGATCTTACATTGTAGCATTGTTCGCTAACTCTGTGAATGCATGTGAATCGATGATTTTGATAGGGTTGAAAAACAGATGCCTAAAAAAGATACAATCAAAAATGTCAATAGGCCTATATGACGATTGCGTAGGCCCATAAAAACCTCTACACAATGACAAAACGGCTGTATAAATCTTACCTAGCAATGTAACGAAAGATGTTACCTTATACTGTATATAGATATATATATACATATATATATATATATAGGCCTATATATATATATGTATATGTAATATATATATAATATATAATATATATAATATATATAATATGTGTGTATATTACAATAATGATATTAAGAGACATTCGTAAAATAAGGTAAATTCACAGCGAGCAATATTTAACCTCCTACCATACGGTTTGAGAAGAACCGCGGTTCTGCTTCTCAACCCTGAGCTTCATGCCAAGGCGATCAGGCATAGTGAAGCATGTATATAATCAAGTGGTGCAATATTTAGGTAGTTCATGTGTATGCAAGTAAATGGTCATACTGTACATCTGGAGCAAACATTTTCTGTGGTGTCTACAAACGAGTTCGCACCTTTTGTTAAGAGTGCTGTTGCTTTTTTAAATTATTATAAAGTATTTTTCCCATTGACAGAGATTACACCGTTATGATATGATAGAATGATCGTGCTTGTTTAATGATTTTCCATAAGATTGTGTAGTCTGCTCTCATATCTATTAGGTTCCAGATAAACTTTCATAATTCAGTTTGTAGGAGGCAATGTTTAGGTTACCGAAATGACAGTATTACTATTGTAATAAAATTGGAAGTTGTTCTCCGACGTAAGACCGATCGTATTCTTAGTTTCTTGGTTGGTTGTGATGGTGGTGGCTTTGTATATTACTGATTTTACCACGTTCTTTCCTTGTGATTGGAGATTGGGTTTGATTGGAAGTTGCATTCTTTTTTAAATAGGCCTATAGGTTGTTTTGGTTTCAGCAGGTTCTGGTTGTGTGCGTTCCTTTGGCTATATTGTCCATGCTGCTATACTGATTTGTACAATTTTTTGTTTAATATATTTTTGAGTGTTTCTTTTGTAGTTGCTAAATACCACGACTTCAACCGAGGGAGGGGTGGCTTCTTATAGACAATAAACAATAGACTTTATTCCTCTGAACGGACCCATTTCAGGGTAAGAGAGAACATTCAGCTTCTCGGTACAGAAAAATATATATAGGCCTAATTAACGAGGTGCGGACACCACACTTTCGCAACAGAATGTACAAACCTAAAGTAAGCTCATGATAAACAAAATTGGCGAGAATTAGACTTCTCTTTGATACTACTTGTGTTAAATAACCGGTACATTTTCATGACATTGGGTCTGGTGTAATAGTACTTTTTTATAAGTAATATAACAGGGGACATACAAATGAGTAATGAAATTAATCCCCCACATTATTAAGATTACATAGCATACATTTGATATCAATATCATGACGGAGGTATTTATGAACCGGTAGCTTATGATTACCACATCTAAACCTACATAAATCAATTCAATCCTTATTGGGTAGCATAATTAGTGTTTATTCGTTTTCACACATCCTATTACTGTTTAATCAGACAGCCATTCTTGTTTCGATATATCATCTAATCGTAATCCAATGCTTTTGACTATCCATTATTTATTTAGATAATTACATTCATTCCATACATAGGACGTACCACCTAAATCCTACTTGTTCCTCCCCAAGTATCCCCGCGCATTCTAGATACAACGAAAGGCGATCATTGATTGTAGCTGTGAATAATTTCCCAATACAACTTAAAAGAGTTATGCCACGATAATTATCGGCATCATTGGGTTAGCCCTTCTTTTATATATTTGGACTATCACACCGATACACCAATCATGTGAAATGATACCAGTTTCTAATATTAAGTTAAATAATCGTGTGATTACTTCAATCAGCTCTATTGGGCTATGTTTAAACATAGAGAAGGTCTACTAACTTTTATTATTAATGAATTTGAGAATGTTAATATTGCCTAGGGCCTTAATTGTGTTCTGGTACTGGCCATCACGACAGGTACCAGTGGTAAGCTAAGGCCTAGTATTCACTAAAACTAACATAGCTAGGCCTAGGCCTTTTTAATTAAATATCAAAGATCAAGAAGATCGTGTAGGCTCCTCCTTAGTCCGATCCTTGGCTATTCCCAGATCTACTCCCGGTCTAGGTCTACCTACCTAGGCTGCAACCTGCCCTGTAGGCTAAAAATAATACACTTGCACACTCTCTTCGAAACACACATGCCAATTAAAACATCGCCATTTAATTGGTTTTCTATTTTTCCTGTTGCCTCCAGTTCCTATAGGCCTAATTAGGGCCTAGGCCTAAATCGATATTTCAATCACGACGATCTCGCTCGCGATACGTTGCTATATTATGATTGTAAGAGTTATCGACGCATGCGCGTTTGCCGATTTCAGCTTATCTTGTTGTCAAGTAGGTTACGTAACGGTGAGATAATTACGATCGCGGCGAGGAGGTCTGTACCTTTGATCTTCGCTCGATGTTACTCCTTCTGTTCTATTTTCTCTATGGTTTAAGATATTCATTGATAATATAGTCAATGCCAGCTGATTTGTTATTACGAAGTTTTAGAATTACCAGTTTAATTTCATCAACGGTGAAAGGCCTATAAATATGATCATTAATGGAATGCTCTATTGACC